GCTATTGCTCCATATATTAATTTTGTTCTGAATCAACTTAACGAACTTTAAAAATGATTTCTATCCTCTTTTTTTTTTTTAGGGGTTCTAGTCAGATGTTTATATTATCTACAAATAATAGTCATTTACTTCTTTCTTATGAATTGTTTATGTCCGTAACTTCTTACTCTTATCTAATTGTTTTGGCTAATGTCTATAGAATAATGTTAATTCATAGAAGTGGTCAGGGGCATTTTCAGTGGTTCCTGCTTTACAAATTTTTTTTTTTTTTTTTGAGACAGAGTCTCACTATGTCACCCTTGGTAGAGTGCTGTAGCATCATAGCTCACAGTAACCTCAAACTCTTGGGCTTAAGCAATTCTCTTGCCTCAGTCTTCCAAGTAGCTGGGACTACAGGTGTCCACCACAACGCCCGGCTGTTTCTTTGTTGTAGTTGACGTTGTTGTTTTTAGCAGGCCCGGGCTGGGTTTGAACCCACCAGCCCTGGTGTATGTGGCTGATGCCCTAACTACTGAGCTATTGGCGCCGAGCCTACAAGGATTGTTTCTGTTTTTCCTCCTTTTGCATGATACTAGTTTTGGCTGAGATAGAACTGTTCTCTACACACTCCTGCTGCAGTGGCCTGCCCCTGGCATTTATGGAAACTGGGACAGGGGTCTAAATGAAAGCCAGCATAGCAAATCCATACATATTTTGAAGTTGTTAATAAACCCCAAACTGTTACATAATCTAACCATTTATCATGAGAAATAGTCTTCATTAAGATCTAGAACCCAGGTTCAAGGACAGAATTTCAGGACTCTTCAGAGCTTGTGCTGGAATGTAGCACGATAGAGAATTCAAGCCCTGTTAGCTCTGTGAGTATCACTGCTTCCTCTGCCTCACATGAAGGGCCTGATGCTCTCAGCTCATCTATCATGATAGTTCCAGCCAAACTTGTAAGCTTTGCTTGTACTCCCTGGAAACAGCCACTCTTTGGTTATTTCCAGGACCTGGGGTGTGCACAATTTCATGGTATGTGATCTACCCCCTGGAGGATGAACCCAAGGAAGAGAACATGCTGTCCCTTAAGTGGCTTGAGGACATTTAAGTAGGGAATTCTGTGGTCCTGGGTACCCTCAGGGTGGTCTAGCTGTGGGGTTGGGCTCTAAAGCATGGGACTTAGGGCAAAAGTAATAAACATACAGCATGTTAAAAATCACTTTAAGGAAGTTATCTAGCAGTCCTATTCTTATTAGGAGACTTTATAAGCGATGGATGTTGATTGTTATCAAATGTGTCTTCAGAATTCATGACATGATTGTATCATTTTTTCCTTTGTTCTACTAAAATACTTCATTATATTAAAAAATTTCCTGTATTGAGCCATCCTTGAATTACTGGAATAACCTTTATTTGGCTTTTGTCAATTTTGTTTTAACTCCCTAAAGCCATGTTTGAAATAAATTTAATTGAAATCTAACAAAGCTACCTTTACCTCCTTCATGTTTACCTGGATGGACTAGAACATATTCTTCTTAGCAAAGTATCTCAAGAATGGAAGAAAAAGTATCCAATGTACTCAGTCCTACTATGAAACTAATTTATAGCTTTCATATGAAAGCTATAACCCAATTATAGCCCAAGAATATGGGGAAAGAGGAGAGGGAGGGGAGGGAAGAGGGGAGGATGGGTGGAGGGAGGGTAATTGTTGGGAACACACCTATGGTGCATCTTACAAGGGTACATGTGAAACTTACTAAATGTAGAATATAAACGTCTTAACACAATAACTAAGAAAATGGCGTGACGACTATGTTAACCAGTTTGATGAAAATATTTCAAATTGTATATAAGACCAGCACATTGTACCCCATGGCTGTATTAATGTACACAGCTATGATTTAATTTATATATATATATATATATGTATATGTATATATACATATATATGATTTAATTTATATATACACACACATATATATACATATATATATAAAACAACAACACATAATACATATGAGAAAGTTATTTCAGTCATTTAAGAAGTATTTGCAGTATGGGGGCAGCAAACATTATGAGGAGGTGAAACGTTTCAGGTTTTACTCTCCTGTGGACCAGCATTCTGGGAACAAAGTGAGCTCCCCTTGTAAAAAAGACCTGTGAAAATTAAATAAATTGTTACTTTTGGATCAAAGAGAGATATGTTACTTGCTATTTGGTCTCAGTTACCTTTTGAACAACAGAACAGTCTCCAATGTAACGAATTTAAACTCTGAAAAGTGAGATTTTTAAAAAAATTTAAAATTACAAGAGACAATCAACAGCATTTTAGCCATCTCTCTCCTTTTGTCTTTATTATATCTTTTCCTTACCAGGGACTCACAAAAAGTTCTAAAAGCCAATTCTGGACTAATAACCTGTGACACATAGTGATCTTGGTAACAACTCCATTCACTATACCAGAAAAATGCAAGGGTCTGCATGCAGATGGGAGATGGCAGCTTCCAGTTGGGGGTCTCTAGGAGACCAGGTCCTTATGGTCTTGGTGTCTGCTTGGCTGATGGCTCAGCTTTGGGGGCTATGGGAATCCTCAGAAACGGGAAGTATGAGTGGGGCATGTGCTCCACGCGGAAATCTCCTCCCCTGGATGGAGCGTATGAGGTCGCAGGAATGGAGCACCTCTCCTATGCTGGGAGGCAAACAAGGGGCACAGTGGACCTGCCTGTTCTGACACCCTGGCTGATTGCACCTGAGGTCAGTCCCACAGCTCACCCTTGATGCATGATTGGCCACTGTCCAAAGACCAGGCCTGTTACAATTTCCACCAGCATTGCAGCCTTCTTAAGGGTGTAAAGCAGGCCCTCGGGCTTACCAAGGCCAAGTTTATAGAAGGCCTTCCTGAGAAGGCTTAGCCTTGTTGACCATCCAAGAAACCGCATGGAGAGCTAAGATAAGTGTGTTCTGACTGTGACCTCTCATTCCCGTCTCGGCTCTCGGCACTGAGGCCATCCCCAAGAAATTAAGACATATTGCCTGGTGGTTGTAGACAGTCTGACACAATCCCCATCTGGCCAAATACTGTGTGTGTGTTATCTACCACCCTGAACTGAGAGCCTGTTCTGTAGTCTGTGGGTGTAGTGGAGCCGACTGAGCACCAAGTTTCTTCTGGCTCCTGTTGCCTTTAGGAAAGAGGTTGAAGCTACCAGGAACCATGTTCTTCAGACTATCTCATTTGCCCCCCTATGGATCTTTAGGAGTGTGGTGTTTAGGATGTGAAAGATGACACGGGATTCAGGGAGGATCACCTTGCCCTCACCCTCATACCCTGTACTTCTGGGAGAAAGCCATGCTTTCTCTACTATGCTGCCTTCAACCAGACACAGCTGTGGGCTGAGATGAACTTGTTTGCTTTTGGCAACACCTGAGCTCAGGCCTGACCCCCCTCAATGGGAACGAACCTAAGGTTTTGGAGCAGCCCCAGGTCGTGCAGAGTGTAAACACAGATGGACATGTCTGCCGGCTCCTGGTGTTACAACCGAATGCCGCAGATCTGGCTTCTGAGGAGGGAAGCAAGAATTTGTTCTGGTAGACTTATACTCTTAAAATCCTCCAGTGGCATTTTTGGTGTTCCACAATAATCCAAAAACACGTAGTTGCAGAAAAACTACAAAAAATGTAGGCGCAGATTTTCAGCTTCAGAGACTGTCTCCCTGAGACTGGTTCTGCTCTTCCCGCCTGGGCTGCCTCCCTGCTGACTGTGGAAGGACGGCTGCTTTACAGACGCCTTGATCTGGTTTGGGGACACTAGAAATCTCTCATCCTCGCTCTGATGTTTTATTGAGTCTAAAGACCATCATACCTATTTCAAGAGAGATGACTCAGGATAAAACTCTCTGGAATTGCCAACCTAGAGCTTCCTGCCTACCTGCCAGGCCACCTTTGGATTTCTAAGGAAACACCACACAGGTGGAAGATGCTATTGAGGCTTTTATACAAATCAGTGGATGGTTTGATATTTTCGTTTTAAAGAGAATTTGAAGACCAACTTCAATGGCAAGAGACGGTTTTGCTTTAAATAAGCCTGGAATGGGCATTGATCACTAAGTGGATTTTAAAACTCCTGGACTAAACCACCACCACCAACAACCATGTGACTACTGAGCAATCTCCCTGCACATGGATTTCTGGGTCACGTGACAGCTCTGTCTCACCACTGCCTGTACAGGACTGGATAGCCAGGCAACTGGATGAGGGAAAATGACATGGAAATCATCTACTTTGCACTTCACCTTCTAGATGGAGCAGGCTAAGAGCAGGAGGCCTCACTTTGCTGGCTATTTTCTACAGAGCCGCAGGAACTGAAAACCCAGATGTCTTCAAGAAGGAAGAATGTTGTGGTGGCCAATGTGTTCTGTGATCTGTGCTTTTTCCTTCCGAGTTGGGTCAGAGGATCCTGATACTGACTATCTTGGTACTAATCCTTCAACGCAAGAATGCCTGCCAGACTGGGGAGTACTCTGGAGGAAGAGGCTCACCCAGTCTCAGGTCTCTCAGGCTGACCTCACTAAGAAGGATGTCTGATGGGGTGCCTGTGAAGTGTAAAGGGTAGTTGGAAGAAAAGAATCCCGGCCTCAACATGACCTTCTCTGGGGACCCCGCCAGCTGCTCACCCTCTCTGTGGTGTCTCTTCCTCTGTATGTGAAATAGAGGCAATGATTGTTCTGTTTTTCTCACTGGAATATTGTTTCTTAAATTTATTTATTTTCCCATTTCAGGTTAATTTGAGGGTACAATTAGGTTACAATGTGTGCATTTGTTAGAGTCCCTCTTATTATTATATTCCACCTCCAAGAGGTGCCATACACCCTAATATTGTGCCCATTAGTGGGGGCACACCCACCCCATCTTTCCTCCCCCCTCCCCACCTTGAATTGATTTGAGTTTTTCTCTTGGGTGGGTGTGTATTAGGTCATCTACTGGCTTCATATTAGTATTGAGTATATTGGATACTTGCTTCTGAAAAAATGGCACACTTCATGAATTTGTGTGTCATCCTTGGGCCGGGGCCATGCTAATCTTCTCTGTATTGTTTTAGTTTTTTAGTGTATGTGCTGTCCAGGAAAGCACCTCGCTGAGATATTGTTGAGGAACAAAGAGACCTAATATGGTGAAGAAAAAGAAATGTAGTTGCAGAAAAAACCCATTGGGAGGCTTGGCACCTGTGGCTCAAGTGGCTAAAGTGCCAGCCACATACACCTAAGGTGGCGGGTTTGAATCCAGCCCAGACCCGCCAAAACAGCAATGTTGGCTGCAACCAAAAAATAGCCGGGCATTGTGGCAGGTGCCTGTGGTCCCAGCTACTTGGGAGGCAGAGGCAGGACAGTCGCTTGAGCCTAGGAGTTGGAGGTTGCTGTGAACTGTGATGTAACAGCACTCTACCCAGGGGGACAGCTTGAGGCTTTGTCTCAAAAACCAAAAAACCAAAAAACCAAAAACCAATTGGGAAACTGGTTTCCAGCCAGACATTAAGAAAATTTTTCACTGTGTAAGGTAAGGACCATCTGAGGCCTGAACCCCTCTTCTCCCTCCCAAAAGCCTGTCATACTTGGAGGCCACCTTGTGGTCTCTCTAATAATAGAGACCTTGCCTTGCTCCAGGGGGCAGGGTGGGGGTGGCAGGTAGTCAATCTCAAGTCAGTGGAACAGTCTAATCACTGCTTAGTTTAACCTTCTCCTTTTGACAAAGCTGTTAGAACTTTATTATTGTTCAGTTGTTCTTCCTTTGATGTTTCTAGAAACTAATGTATTCAGTATCTTCTTACTTTGGTTTTTCTTGTTGTTTTGAGAAGAATTAGGTTTCTGAGGATGATGAGAGATTGGGATGAAGTTGTCAGTTTTCCCTACAGCATGCTAGGTGATATCTAATAAATTTTCATTGACCAGAAAAGATAATTCTCTATGATCAAGTGGGTTTATTGCAGGGATTCAAGGATGGTTTAACATTTGCAAATCAATAAATGTGATTTGTTACACAAATGGAAACAAGATCAAAGACCATATGATCGTCTCAGTAGATTCAGAAAGAGCACTGGATAAAATCTAGCATCCTGGATAAAATCCCTCAACAAAAGAGGCATAGAAGGAACATACTTTAAAATTATGAAATACATGTATGACAAACCTATAGCCAATATCATACAAAAGTTGAAAGCATTCCCCCAACAACTGGAGCAAGATAAAGGTCCAACTGTCCCCACTTTATTCAACACAGTACTGGAAATCCTTGCTAAAGGATTCAGGCCAGAGAAAGAAAGAAAGAGCACACAAGTTGGGAAGGAGGAGGCCAAACTATCCCTGTTTGCTGATGCTATAATCTTCTATTTAGGAAATCCCAAAGACTGCAACAAAAGACTCCTAGAATTGATAAATAAAGCCTCAGTTAAAAATTCCATGTGCACAAATGTCCATTTTTATATACTAGTAACAGTCAAGCTGAGAGTCCAATCAAGGACCCAATACCATGTACAATAGCTACGAAGAAAACAAAATGCCTAGGAATATACTTAACCAAGGAGGTCAAAGACCTCTAAAGAACTACAAAACACTGATGAAAGAAATCATAGATGACCCAAACAAATGGGCATACATCCCTTGCTCATGGATTGGTATAATCAATATTATTAAAATGTCTACAATGCCTGAAGTGATTTACAGATTTGATGTAGTCCCCCTCAATATACCAATGTTATATTTCCTAGATCTAGAAAAAAATAATTCTACACTTCATTTGGACCAATAAAAAACAAACAAACAAACAAACAAACATCCCTCTCCCCCAACTCCAGCCCAAATAGCCAAATCAATCTGAAGCAAAAAGAGCAAATTTGGAGGCATCACAATACCTGACTCTGAATTATACTACAAGGCTATGGTAACCAAACAGCATGGTTCTGGTATAAAAGTAGAGGCATGTACCAATGGAACAGAGTAGAGAACCCAGAATAAAATCATCTGCCTGCAACCAACTGATATTTGATAAAGTAGACGACATACACTGGGGTAAGGAAACCTTATTTAACAAGTGGTGCTGGGACAACTGGACCATGTACGTAGGCATGAAACAGGACCTCTATCTCTTATCATATACAAAAATTAATTCAAGATGGGTAAGATTTAAATGTAAGGCATGACGCTACAAAAATTCTAGAAGAAAACGCAGGAAAAACTCTTATAGACATTGGCCTAGGCAAGAAATTTATGATTAAGACCCCAAAGGCAAATATAGTGACAACAAAAAAAAAAAATAAATGGGTCTTGATTAAATTAAAATGTTTCTGCATAGCAAAGGAAATAATCAACAGAGTAAATGGACAATCTATAGAATGGAAGAAAATATTCACAACTTGTATATATAATAAATGGTTAATATCCAACTCTAAAAAGAGCTCAGCTAATCACCAAGAAAAAAAACAACTCTATTAAAAAGTGCACAAAAGACATAAACAGAAGTTTTCAAAAGAAGCTAGATGAATGGCTAACAAACATAAGAAACAGTGCTCCACGTCACTAATCACTAGGGAAATGCAAATTAAAACCACAGTGAGATGCCACCTTGCCCCGTTAGGATGGCTTTTATTAAAAAATCCCAAAACAATAGATGCTGGCGTGGATGCAGAGAGAAAGGAACACTGCTATGCTGTTAGTGGGACCGGAAATTAGTACAACCTCTGTGGAAAGTATTATGGGGATGCCTGAAAGAGATAAACGTAGACCTACCATTTGGTCCATAATCCTACTCCTGGGTACCTAACCTGAAGGAAAAGGAGTTTTTGATAAAAAGACACTTGCCCTGGAATATTTATCATAGCACAATTCACAAGTACAAATATGTGGAATAAACCTAAATGCTCATCAGTTCATCAATGGATTAAGAAAATGTGGTATATATACCATGGAGTGCTATTTAGCCATAAAAAGGAATGAAGCAACGTCTTTTGCAGCAAGTTGGATGAAACTGGGGAACATTATCCTTAGTGAAGTATTTCAGAAATGGGGAAATAAATACCACACATACACTCTAATATTGGGGAGCTGAAATAATGGATACACACAGGTGCAAAGAAATGTAAAGGTTATTGGAAACCCCCTGGGGGGAGAGTGTGAAGATGTGAGGGGTAGAAACTTCCCTGTCCAGTACAATGACCACTGTCCTGGTGGGAGGCACATTTAAAGTCTCAACTTAAGCATTCTATAAGATATATATGTAATCAAAACACTTGTACCCCCTTAATTCTTTGATATAAAATTTTCTTTTCCTAAATATTTACCCACTCCTTCCTGCTGTAAAGCACCCTCATGGGACAGAAAAATGCCGGAAGTTTTATCCTTCACAAGATAATGAAAGAAGAGGTCACCTCTCCCTGGAGTGTGGAGAGGGTGCAAGTATGGTTTTCCGGCACCTAGTTTAGAATTACCTGGTGACACTTTCTAACATTTGGATTTGTAGGCCACACCCAAAACCTACAACAGGAGATCTCTGGGGGTGGGGCAGGGGATGTCTGAACAATTTTCCCAGATGAATCTTTCTTCATAGCCAAGGTTTTGGCTGGAGGGTCCCAGAGTTAATCTTCGGGCTTTGGAGCGTATACCAATGAAGATTTAGGCTACAGCAGCCCACTTGGCTCTAGATGAAAACTCCAGCTTAGCTTCCTAGCTCTCCTTTTGTCTGTTTGCATCTCCCAGAATTGTTTTATCCGAGCAGTGAAGCACTGGTAAAATGAAACCCAAAATATTTCTCATGTAAATACTAATGAACTTCCTCCTATTTTATAACCAGTAGTCGGGACTTAGTATATAAGTTGTTTCTATGAGCAGTTGTGACGTAGTATCTAGCTGAATGCAGGTTCTGGAGGTGACCCCTGAACAGGCTCAGGCTCTTTGCCCCAATTCATACTCACTCCTATTTTATCGTAGCAAACCCACAGGGAATGATGTGGGCAAAGGTCAGACGCTGTCAGCTACAGTAGTGCTGTACTGAAATCCTACTTTTCATGCCTGGATATTAATTTATATGTATTAAGGCTGTTGGATTTTCAGGAAAGAATGATCTGAACCTGTTTATAATTTATAAATACCAGAATATGGAAAGATCTTTTGAAGATGGTGAAATGTTTAAATAATGTCATATACATAGACGTAATAGAGTAATCAAAAATTTTCTTTTTTCTTTTTTTTTTTTGAGACAGAGCCTCAAGAGCCTCTGGGTAGAGTGCTATGGCATCACAGCTCACAGCAACCTCCAACTCCTGGGCTCAAGCGAGTCTCCTGCCTCAGCCTCCCAAGTAGCTGGGACTACAGGCGCCCGCCACAACGCCTGGCCAGTTTTTGGTTGCAGCCATCATTGTTGTTTGGCGGGCCGGGGCTGGGGATTCGAACCCACCACCTTAGGTGTATGTGGCTGGCGCCTTAGCCGCTTGAGCCACAGGCACTGAGCCAATCAAAAATTTTCAAAGCACTTACTCTATTCTATACCCAGAACCATCATCTTACCCTGTAGTGAAAGAAATACCTGATTTATAGTTCTCAGCTGTACCAGCTTAGCTGTCCCTTTTATTTATTTTCTAATGGGATGAAGTTTAAAAGACAAACAGAAGAATCTACCCTAATCACTATGATGAATTTCTTTGTCTTCACCATCAATTGAAGACGTAATTCACTCTAAATGATGTGATTCCTTAACGCTTATTTTTGGGAGAAGGAAATAAAGAAGAAGTACGTGAATTTAGGCTGTGGAGACAAGTAGGTTTCTTCGCAGAGATTACACATTGCTATCTTTGTAAATAACTTTATTTTTCTTATTCAGGAAAACCACACATTACTAAAGACTGTTCGAACAATACAGAAAAGTGGAAGGAACAAAGTGAAAATTGTTCCCTGCCTGTTGTATTTAAGCTGTCTAACATGCCAGCTTGTTTCAGAGGGAAATGAGATAGCTTACCTTAGGGAGTACCCACGGGGCCCTGGGCCATTCGGTTTTATATATACCATCCTATTTAATCCACCCAACAATCTTACAGGATGACAATACCATCTCCATTTTCCAGATATGAAATCTGAAGCTCAGAGGTA